ACATAAGCACCTTCTTCTGTTTCACCATCATCAAATACATAAAAAGTTAAGGATTCTGATTTTAGGTATCGGTCTAAATCTGCATTCATTGGCACTTGGAAACACATATGGTCATCTATTTGTGGGTTGTTGCTGCTAGGAATGATGGGAGTATCATGGTCTGCAAAATCAAAGAACTTGTAGACAACATAAGGATTTGGCTGAAGATGGTTTTTTCGGGATTGTAGACTGTTACAACATTTTATTGTAATGTGGAGTTCATTTAAATTGCCATCTGTTGAAGTGCTGACTTGGGCAGTTCTGAGTATCTGCTGCTTTAAATGAAAAAGAAGTTAAATTAAAAACATTAGAATTCTTATGTTAGCGAACTCTAAGAGCTATATAAATAGAACAACTAACTGATTATTTCAATGACACTCCAACTACTGTTTAATTTTGTATGTCAAAATATTACTTGTTCTATAAATACAACGACATTTCTCTTGGGTTGTTGGTATAAGGAAATAAGAGGTTAATCCTTTCAGGTCTGTGACTGTTCGCTTTATTCTTCTTAAGTTTTATGATCTATTTGTCATTTGATTATCTACAAAGCAGTGAAGATCACAGTTTTAAGAGTGATTCATATCTAGTGCCACTTTAAAGTTAAGGATTCTGATCTTGACAGCTATTCTATGTCAAGAAACTTTTATAACTGGAGTCCCTTTTATATATGTACTTCTCAATAATTAAAATTGTACTGCAGATTCCTCTGGTTTTTCCTTCCTCCAAAACCTTTACAAACAATTTATAAAAAATTTACAAAAACTAGAAATCAGCATGTGAAGAGTAATAACAAATGTTTAAAATAAATTTAAAAACTCAATGATATCACAAATTTTTTGAATTACCTATCAGCGAGGCTTGTACATGCTGTGGAACCCATAGTTGGCAAACTGGGAAATTCATTTTAATAAAAATTAAAGAATAAAAAGAAAACAAATAACATGACTATCTTAAATGAGTAATCCCCATCTATATTGATCTCAAACGGCTCTCCTTTACTGTAATATGTTATAGTTATTTTCATTAATGGTACATAATTATCTTGCTTGTGGAAACCAGAGTTCTGTCGACTGGTATATGGGGAAATATGTACCAATTCGATTTTGTGTGATAAAATGTTAAATATTTTGATTAAATAATCCACATTGAAATAGTTAATGAGAAAACTAAACATGACAGTTTAAGTCCTTAATATGCAACCTTAATACGTATCTGGCTACATACGGAACTGGAAAAAAAAAATTTATAGCAGTTTATGTACACTTCATGTTTCCATGATTTCTGCTGCTATACAGGACAGAAAATTTTATATGTATGTTTAACTAGTGAAAGCTTAAATTTTGGTACGCACAACTGAAGCTACTTTTGCAGCTGCAGATAGACAGAACCCTTAACATAATGTAACCATCTGCTATGGCTATATGACTTCTAGTTTCTGCTATGAAACATTTCTGAAAACTGTGGTGTTTCAAACAGCTCTGTAGAAGCTGTTCTTCATTTCTGCTATTTTTCCTATTTTATTTTCTCCCGTATAATCAGTATATTTCAGTTGCCAAGTTTGAATTTGCAATCTTACAATAATTACAACAAAATGCTCTGTTCCACATGCCTTACCTTTCAACTGTGTTTGGATTGGTAACACAGCTAGAAATAACATAATCAAAAATAGAGAAAACCAAGTAACAGATTTTGGCATTTAACAACAGCCAGATTTCGTGAGTTAGTTAAAAATACCTTTGATTGTTTTAAAAATCAGATTTAAAGCAAATGTTATGTTATCAAACATGAAGTTATTCTGAAAATGCCTACACTGACCTTTAATAGAATTCATACACTAAACATACTTCTCAGATTAAATCATGGAATCCATTGAGATTCTAGTATAATACAAATTTACATTATGGAATAATATAAAACATTAAAGTTACTCCAGACTTACAATAATTTAAACAGCTAGAGATAAAAAAAAAATTGCCTGTTAGAAACTCTAAAGTGTTTTAATTTATACATTTCAGCCTGATTGTTTTTATTTCTTAAACAACTGTTAAAGATGTCTGAAAGTCCCTTCTTTTTCTGTCTGTGACTTTTATTTAAATGTGATTATACATTGCACTATATTACTAAAATTCTCTTCATTACCCAGTTTAAAAAAAAAAAAAAAAAAAAGAAACCCTGAAATAATCTCAGTCTCATAATAGTCAAACATTAAGAACTTTGAGACCTTTCTGAACAACCGCTTCACCTGTTGTACTAATCTGACACTCAGTTGGTTTAACATTCCTGAATATTGTCCTAGGACAAAATGTTAACAAAATCTGGCACTTTCAGGTTAAGAAAATTAAATATAATAATTTCAAACATTCTAGTGACAATTTCAGTAAAAATAAATAACTGAAGTTTAAGACTTTGTCTCTTCAGGAAAGCTATAATTCAACTGGTTCTTTATCTCTTTAGATGAAAACCATGTCATTCAACTGCTAAAGATATTTTCCGGTTCAAGAAACTTTAACTTTGTTAACCTTGAACATATCAAGACTTGAAGGAAACTATTTGAGCTGAAAAAGTAATTTTGAGCAGTTCATTCTATCAAAACTATGAAGTACAAACCCAAACATACCTGGCGTGGTTCTTCACGTTCCCTAAAATTGGCTGTTATATACCCCAGAGCCTTTGACCTCTCTTTGTAGAGACTAATAGCTTGATCCATAGGAACTCGTAACCTGATCCAGTATTCTACGGTACCATAATTTTGAATGTTTCCTTTGATTCCTAAGGAATAAATACATACGGGATTGCATTAATTTTCTTTTCAACATTAAAGCACTTAAGTCAAAAGCTAGGAAACGCCACAAATTAAAGATTAGTTGTCTTGCGACTATGCATTACAACAGTGTTTATGACATGAGATGTGCAGTTCATGTCAGAAACAGAAACAACAACTCCTCTGGCTCTACATGTATGATCCAAAACTTAAACATGACCATTTTCTCATATTGCAATCTACGATATTTACTGTCCAAGCTATAGAGTCAAGTTCATTATTTTAATCTCTTTAGATTATTTTAATCTCTAAGCAAATAAAGCTTAGGACAATTTTGTACGTCAACAGTTGGAAATGTCCCATAAAGTGGTATGCAGTTTAAATTACTGGCAAAAATACCACTTTACAATGGCTTATTAAACCAGATTTTTGACAAAAGCGGGCAGTTAGAGGTCTCTGACTATACTGATCTGACAAAACACTTCTAAAAAAAAAGTAAGTAGCACAAAATTTTAAGTACTTCTTAAAAAAGGCTTGTCTGGGATATCTTGAAATAATTTTAAAACAATGAATTAAATTAAAAGGAAAAAATGCACAAAACCTAAACCAACTCCCCCATAGATTATGTACTGTATGAAATATTATTAACTGTAATCACCATCATTTGCACCTTTTTGATGCCTTACGACTTTTATATGAAGACCTCTGACTTACCAGTTTAAATAACAACCACTGTAACCATTTCTTCCTTTATTTATTGATAAAGAATGAGGGGATATATTTATGACATTTGGGCCAGATATAAAGCACTGATGTTTGATAGTCTTATAATGCAGAAATATTTTTGTTTTTAAGGTATATTCTGCCAAACAGAGAAAATGCATATGCAAAAGTAGAATAATTTAATTTCATTTAAATATATTACAAGATTTCACTGAAATTACTCTATGTTTCACAGTTGAAGTAAGTAAGGCCCCCTTGTATCAATAACAGTCTCAGAGGATGAAAGAAACTTGCATTAAACAACTAAAACACAATTAACAATATATAAAATAAAGCAAAATGAAAAAGAATATCAGTCTTTTTTAAAAATATCTTCTCTGCAGCATTCATAGAGAAATTCTAACACATGAATAGTAGTACAACGCAATCAAGTAGACTGCTCTACTAACTACTTTTCTCCATGTTGTTTTTGTATAATTCTGTTGAGTAAGGTGATACTATCTTTTATTAAAATTCTTTACATGTGTAGTAGTAACACTTTGCAAGTAACCTTTATACAAGACAAAGAATCACTTGCTATTTTCAGACAAGATTCTCTAATGCCATTTCCAGCATGTCACATACTTCTAATGTCATGTACTTCAGGATCACTATATTAATACCACCTTTGTTCTCAGCCGTTATGGCCAAAATTGCACCTGTCAGAGCTTTCCCACAACTGTCGATAGAATCACCAGCACATGCTGCACATCCAACAGGAAATATCATGTTGTGTAAACCTTTTTTTTTTTTCTTTTGAAATAGTAATACATTAATTCATTGTTGGCCAAATACACATTACTCAGTTGTCACTTACAATACTGCATCAAACAGAATACATTTTGGTATGTTAATTACCAATTAAATTTGCTGTGCTGTAGATCTTCCCATTGTTTTCCAAGATTTCATGGAACTTCAGTTGACATGCAGCAACTGTTTCATAATCTGTGCCATATGCGTGATGAACCTCAAGTGTGATACTGTTTCGCTGTATATAGTGCAAGAAGCAGTCATCAGCCTGCACAAGATACTGAGAAGTGAAGTCATATGATGGGGTACGCCCATAAACTACTGGGGTTGTCTGAAGTTCGAAGTCATAGAATGCGTAAGTACAAAAAGTTGCAGGTTCATGGTCACCAAAAGCGTGCATAGCTCCAGAAGAGAAGATCACTTTGCTGATATGAATTTCAAAAAGGTTCTCTCCTCTTTCTAAATGTAAAGTTTCATCAAATTCATCCACTGGATCACCTGGCAATACTTCTGGTCTGGATTTATGCGGTTTTGTACCATAGACAATATCTCTTAGTTGGGCTGCAACAAATAAAATAAAATAGAGCTACAATATGACAGTCTTGTTTAAAAATCAAATATAATTAATGATTGACTAGAGAGGAAAAAAGCATAATTCGATTATATTAACGTTACTTTCTTAAAGACGTTACCAAAAAAGAAATCACACATTTAAAATCATACATCTACTGCTCATTTAGCACTCTGACAACAATCAAGAATACCTCCACAATGGAGCTGCTTCAATATACATAAAAATAGACACAGGCCCCTAATAATTAATAACAGATTACAAGGGAGTTAACAAGCAAAAATTCAGAAGTCTTATGTAATGATCAAAATAAGTATCACTATGCAAATGCAGCAGAGACTTAAGATACATATTTTCGTAGGGTTGAACTAACTTTGCCAGGGAAAGAAAGAATACATCTGACTTTTAACCTCTATAATATCCTGAGTGGACAGAACTATCAGCAAAGACCTTTACATGTTGCTCGGCCTTACAGGTGGTAAATGGTGAACAATTGCCTACAGAATTAGGACATAAATCATTATGCAGTCCTTTAGTACAGGGGATGCAACTTGGAGACAACACGTGAAAATTGCTATGACACTGCAGTTTGTAAGGTATCCTATTTCCCGCTTCCTATGTGCCTTTTACACACTGAAGCCATTAAAACAGCATTTTAAATTCATCATATTGAAATATTGCATAGGTATATTATAACATGGCTTTGGGATTTTTAGCAACACATAAAATGATTATGTAATGATAGGACAGCAAAATAAAAGGTTGACTGTAAATTTATGATTTAAAAAAAATAATAAAAAATATCTAAGTTTGGTAGTTTTATTCTTATTCAGCAATAGCTGCAGCATAAACTGTTTTGTTGAATTTTGTTTGATTAATAACTTTATCATGTAAGTCAATGAAACAGCACAGACAATTTTCCATGAAAGAACAGACCTTTCTACTAGTTTTAGGAAAAGTGTTTCAACTGAAGAACAAATTTAGAACAATAATTTGCAAGAGATAAAACATAAAAAAAAATTGGAGAAGAATATACTTTAGAGATACCTTCTAGTTTTCTGATGCGTGCAGCTCTAATATCAAGAAGATGGACATACTGTTCCAGTTTTAACTCATAGTCTTTCTGTAGACTTTCCATCTTCTGTGTCACTGCTTCTACTTCAGTCTGAAAAAAATTTGCGTGTAAAAAGGACTTTTGAGGCTTGTCTGCACTGATGCTGCACATGCTTTTGGTTACAAACTAAAATACAGTTAGATTTGAGGAAAGAACATTTAGAGTACACAAAAATAGCAGCAATTTTTAGTTCAGCAATACAGTAATCAGTTTGAATTTCACAAAATCTAAAAACATTATTAAGAAAAATAGACTAACTATTCTTTCAGGACAATGTTCCTAATAGTTTCTTTAATGATTTTGTTATTTTAAAGTTAGATTAATTGAATGAAAAGTCAAAATATGATCTGCGATAATCCAGCACAAGAGAGTAAAAGCGGAGTGTTGTGGAAAAGGAAGCTTATTTGATAAATACACTTACTATATTTCCTGTGAAGTCTTGATAAGAGCTCAGAGATAATCCCAAAAAGACATGGTTTGAGGGCTCAAGGCAAGTTAAAAGACTAAAGTTATAGTCATTTGGATCTCACAGTTTTTAAAAAATACTTTCAACAAGAGCAAATCTTAGGTTAGGTTACCTATAAACAGACTGGCTTTGTTGCTGAATTTGCAAGTCTTCATTATGACAAGTTCCAGTGCTACAAATGTTAAAATGTTATTGTCAGGTTATTTTCCACTATGAGTAGAGTTTAGTACCTGGTAATCTTTGTTAATTTTGTGCTGCACAATTAACATATTCCTTGTCTTTTCAAGTTCTTGCACTGTTTCCGCATGTGTTAATTGCAGCTCCCGCATGGAGTGTTCTAGATCTTTATGGATATCATCTTCTGCTTTTTCCAAAAACATAAGGTCCCCATTCGTCTGCTGCTTTCGAACCTGGACCAAATTTTAAAAAATTACAAGAACAAACTTTTGCAAAATATTTGGATATATTTGTGCCTGGTTAAATGTAACACATAATTTTGGAACAACAGTAAGACAGTAAGCATAATTTTGTATATTTTGAGCATGTGGTAACACCAAAATTAGGAATGAGGTAGACCAGTAACTGTCAGGATTGTATTCAGTAATGTAATCTCGTGATTATTAGGAACCAATTAAAATATATAAGATATTCAGAAGCAATCACTCCTGTCTATCCAATGAAAATACAAAACCCTTACTATATTTGCCATTTATATAATTATTATTCTCAAATCTACATTGCTTCTTTTATTAATACTGGGATTTTAATTTTCATCCAGTTTATTTTTTCCTTTCTTTTTTTCATTATCATTATAGAATTATCATTTGCATTTCAGTAGCAGAAAAAGATTCTGTTTACAGTAAAGACTTCCTCAAGAAAACAAAACATAAGTGACTGGAACAGTGGCAACTTAATGCAAACTTATTTTTTCACTGATTTCTTCCCCACACCCCCACTTCATTTTCAGTTTCACTGTAAACAATAAAATTACAACTTATGTGCACAGTATTTTTGGTTTTCTGTTTTAATAAACAAAGAGAAGTTGCTAAGCATCGCTGTATCGCATTTCAGAACTTCCATGCTTACAGTACGCTCCCATAAATTACAGAATTAATAAATAAAAATGTTTTTTTAATAAACATTATAGGAAGAACAAGATGGCGTGATAAGTCATTTAAGTGAGAAAAAGTAAGTTTTTAAAAAAATGCTTGTGAATCTGGTTTAATACACTTTTGACGTTATAGTGAATTATCTACATAACTCTAGATTTCATCACGGTAATTTTTTCATCTTCCCTTCTGCTTGACTGTAACTGAAAAATGACAAAAGCACACATATGAGCTTGAATTGATTTCAGGGGCTTCAGCCCTTGAAAATCCCAGGCATTATGTAGAAAACACGTTATGGTCAACCAAGGTTTTAAAAAAAA